TGCCGCTTTCCTGACGCTGCATCGCTGTTTTTCAGGATCTCAATATTCTTCCTTGTTTGCTGGAAGACTGCAGCTCCACGTTCACAGAAGTCTTTCCAGAGGTTGTACTGTGAGTCAGCTTCGGTTGTATCTGGCCGTCTTCGCTTCGGACTGAGTGACCGTGTCTTGGACTGCTTCTTATGGAACCGCTTCCTCACGTCCTGTGCTGAGTCTTCCATCATTCTTTTGCTTGTCTTCTTCGATGGTTCGACCGCGGCCTTCTTCGAACTTCCTTCGGCTGGTGTCTTCTTCCGGCTTTCTTCGGCTGGTGTCGGCTGCTGAGTTTCTTCGAGAGCTGTCGGCTGCTGAGCTTCTTCGCTGGACGACATGTGGAAATACTGAAGTTTCAAAGTTCTGACCGCTGCTTATATAGGGGTACCGTCTTTGTTGTGCCATATAGCGACGAGCCGCGAGTTGATGGAGAGGGAGATAGGGTGGGAAGCTCGCTGCGATTTGTTTATGTGATAGGTGGGAATGAGCATCTCGGTCAGCGTTCGAATTTGAATCGACTTTTACGTAGTAGATATACAGACTAACTAATTCTACGTGAAGAGTGCAGTAAACTACATTTGCTTCGCGTGACTCCTTTGTGGGTTCCTTTGAAAGAAGTTTCTGCATATTTTGATTAGTCCTCCAAGTATTAGTTTGAGCAACTGTAACTGAAATCTTGTTATTCTGATGAATAGGTGGGCGATCATTGACAGGATTTTCACGCCACACGTCCATAGGAAAATGTACCCTACGGCTATGGCCATGAGGAAGCAACCTGCTGTGATTGCCATCGTTCTGTATCCAGACAATATTGTGTCAAAAATATGGCCGAAGTCTGGAAATTCCATTTCGTTCTCAATAGAGGTTTCTCCTTTTATTATTCGCTTAACAGATGCCTCTATTGTTCTGGTCCACTTGAGGATGCCTGTGATTTCAAAATGCGTGGGTGTTGAACCGCACAACGATATGCATCTCAAAAGCACTCTCGCGCTATTGTATGAGAAGCGTATTTCGGATTTTTCTCCATCTTGCGAGCATGGAACTGAGAAATGGAGATCTGCGCAATGTATTTCCGCTCGAGTTGCGCCGTGGTTACTGAAACATGTCACTTCGGAAACTGCTCCTTGTCCACAGCGATAACATCCTTGAGCCATCGCGTTACCTATTGTGCAGGTCATGTTTGATACTTCCTTAGTGATCATGTTGATATCTTCTTTAACTGTGACTAAGAGTTCTGCCGTAACCAAGGTTGGTATGAGTGCGCTGACAGAGCTAGGGTCTCGCCTGGACTTGTCGAAAAACACCCAAGGATGTCGTACCGGTAAACGGTTTTCGAGCTGTTTTTCGAACAGCGCCGTGAGATTCATGTCCATGCAGTTGCATAGGATTCGTAGCTCTGCTGGTTGACATATGCAGTTGTGTATCACGGAGCAATTCATATTTTTTGCATGATGAGAAGATTCGCATTCCAACAGCAGGGGATGACGTCCATTCCAAATTGCTGTTTCTTCTCCATTGGTGATGAAGTAAGTGTTCAAAAGTGGAACTGGGGGGACAGTCAGCGAGCTCAACGTGAGCCTTAACTTCCCATGTTTGACAGGTACTGTCGGCTGTAAGAACACTGTTTTCTCTACCTGTTTTCCTTTGTCGTCCTCTGACTGAATTTGAAGTTCCACAGCTTCTTTCCATGACAAACATCGAAAAATTTCGTAGACTGCGTCATCGTCCGGTACGTGAAAAATTCTGTAGAAGAGACAGCCACTGCTTAAGTAGAAGCAGCCGCACCCTGGGCCTCCACAGCTTTCCACACACCTAGTTATCCCTGTGTACTTGTTTCCAGGGGCGAGTTCAGGAATAAGCGATGTTTTATTGAACTGCTCGCATTTACTTCCTTTGCAGCTTCCCGTATGAGCACATCGTTTTGAATCGCAACTTTCTGGATTGTGTTTCTCGTGAACGTTATCGTATTCTTTTTGGCATTCTAGATGCAAACCTCTCCAGAGGAAACGATATTTCCGAAGTGTCGTCTCATTTTTTACCACCCGAATGCACGTTCCTGATTGAAGGTGTTTAATTTGATCATGTTTGGTCACATTTTTGAAACATTTGCCTTCCGTCGGTGAGTTTCTCGAGCAAACCTTGGTTGTCAAGGTGAAAATATCGACGTCTTGACAGGTCAATGCTCCTGTTATGGAAATGGCAAAGACGATCGCAAGTAGAGGGGCATTAATCAGTGCTTGAACGTCTGGTCTTTCGTACTCTCTCCTTCGGCGACTTATTCCTTTGAGAGCCCTGAGCAAGAGGTGGCCGCCACAGCGTACTGCTCGCTGGAGGATGTGATATCCTACTCGACAAGGTTTGCCAATGACTACCGGTACGTAGCAAAGCGTGTAAATTACTGCGATGATAATGTACAGCACGATCATGAAGGCTATTAGTGCTGCTTCTGGGTTGCACTCAGGGTTGAACATTGTAGCTGTACAGAACCAACACTGTATCATTTGACAGAATGGCGCTGGAGGGCATGATAGCTTCACAACATTGACACGACCCTTGTCCAAAGTTTTCCACTGCACCATATATCTGTGAATGGTAACTTCTGGAGGAAATAACAGCTTCTCAGTCGCAAATGGTTTTTCTCGGAGAATGCAGTACCCTTCTGAACACACTTCATATTTGTTGACTTCTGTACTTTCTACTTGGACTCCTCCCGTGATGCACTGAAGCTTTGTTAGAGCCATTCGTCCAACTTGTTTGAGCTGACGCTGATGCAGTTGTTGTCAAAATGAAGGCGAAGCATATGAGCATCGAGGACCACGGAATCGCAGACCCTCTATGACTGTGTAAGGTATTCACATTGCTAAGATTCCTGGGTATCCTTCTTGATCTTCTCTGTAGTTCACCCTTGGTCTTTTTCTGAGATTATATCTCTTATTTGATGTTCCTTGAATTGATTCGTGCTGAGATGTATCTTCTGTTTCTTTGGTAGGCAACGTCGGTTGATCCTCAAGTTCCAGTGGAACTAGCAGATTTACGGGTCTACGTATCTGCTTGCCAGCAGGCGTTCGTATCACCGCTTCTCGCACTGCAGAATCTGTTCCTTCTGTCAAGTCTAGTATTCTTCCCATCCTCCAGCTATTGCGTGGGATGTTTGGATCTGTTATCAGCACGACTGCACCGATTTCTGGAGTCTTCTTTCCGTGACGTTTGTGATCCATGTTCAATTTGTGGACCTCGCGGAGGCTGCTCAGGTACATCGTGTGCCAAGTTTCCCAGAACTGCTCTGTGAGTTTATGGGATGATGCCAGCGCAGTTTCCGCTTGTTGCCTTGTCTGGAGGGATAGGAGTTCCCTTGGTGGTAAGTACTGTGGATCTTCGTTGTGTTGGTTTTCGAATGGATACAACACTTCGACATCTTTGATAATGAAGTCGATGGGTCGCAACGGTTTCATCTCATCGTAAAGCTCTCCTTGATACGTCAATGGCCGACTATTGAGACTTCCTTCAATTTCGGTCATGAGTGTAGTCAGTTCTTCTGTGGTCAAAATCCGGCTTCCAACAGTCTTGTAAAAGCAGTGCTTAACAGATTTGATCAGCCTTTCATATACTGCTCCCTGCCACGGAGCATAAGGTGTAATGGTTGACCAGACTATGCCCTTCCTCGCAAGAGTTGACTGGAAGTTTTCATCTTCAATGACCTGTTGAACTGTGTCGCGTAGAATTTGTTCTCCCAGAATGAACGAAGGTCCATTGTCTGACGTAATTGTTGATGGCACTCCTCTACGGGCAAAGAACCTTCGCAAAGCCAACAACAATTTTTCCGTCGACATATCATGAACAACTTCAAGGTGCATTAGCCTCGTTGTCATGCACGTGATGATCAGTCCGTACACCTTGTTACCATGTTCATTCTCTTTTACCATCAGGGGCCCAAAGTAGTCTATACCGACATGCTCGAATGGTTTCGCCCGCACTACTCTCCTTTCTGGAAGAGGGCCCATAGCAGGATATTGATATGGTAGATTGTTAAGTTTCTGGCACGGGATGCATTTCCTCAGAAAGGTTTGAACTTGTCGCCTCAGCTTTGGTATCCAAAATGTTTCCCTAACCCGTGCAATCGTGTGCGACGTGCTGAGGTGGAGTGGATTGTGCGCGTCCTTCACAATGCATTCTGCCAGCGGTGTTTTCGCGCTGATGAAGAACGGTTTCTGCGCCGTTTCTGAAACCTGGGCTATATCCAAGCGTCCGACAGAACGAAGTAGACCGTCCTCGTCGTGCTTCAGGTTAAGACTTTTTGCGGACTCGCAGAGCTGTCTCGTTACGTGCACTTGCTGATGATTACGGATGATGACATTCCTTGCAGCTGTTATTTCTTGTGGAGACAGATATGCTGTTCTACTCTCACATTTGAGTTCTGGAATGGAATTTTGAAGTCTCCCTTTCAGCTTGGCATTGACTTTGTGAACAATTCCTCTGAGGAAACGCAAGACATATGCAGTTGTAGCGATTGCCGAATTTAGGGTGTTATGTCGTTTCCACTCCAGCAGATCTTCCATCGTTCCTTTCGCTGTTGTTTTTGCTGTCATTGATGAGCAATTTTGAATTTCTTCTTCAGCGGTGTCTCCAGTTTCATCTTGTGGAAGTCTGAAGATTTTGCAACTCTCTGGCCACTGGTTATCAGGCAACTTCAAAAACTCCGGCCCAGTCCACCACATATGTTGGTCCATACTGGTCGAGGTCAATCCCCTGGTTGCACAGTCTGCGGGGTTATCTTTTGTGTCGACGTATCCAAAGCGGACGGGAACGTCGATGGTTTGAACGATTCTCCTGATCTCATTGACTCGATTTTTCACCAGAACGCCGCAGTCCTTTCGAAGTGGATACGTTGATAGCCAGCTCAGAGAGATCTTGCGAGTCCGAAAGAATGGTGATGGAAGAAATCTGGACTTTGCTTTCTAGCGCTCTATATACCATATGAGCTATTCTTGCCGCTAGTGTGGCTGCGTTGATCTCCATTTTGGGAATCGTGGGTCGCTCTTTAGGGTTTGGCAGTCTTGACTTGGCAAACAAGAGATGTGACTCTAATTTTGTACAAGGTAAGCGCACGCTGCCATAGCACTGTTACTTGCATCTGCAAATAATACCAGTTGTGCCACTGAATCTGAAGAAGCCACTCTTCGTGGTAGCCATCGTCGATATCCGCTAATGTTGCTGCAAATCTGGTTCCATTCCATTTCGTGTTCTGTGGAGAGTTTCGCGTCCCAGTCGTATCCAGATTGCCAGAGGGCTTGCAAGAAGCAGCTTCGCTTTGAGCAGCAGAGGTGTGAGCCATCCCATCGGATCGAAAATTGAGGCCACTTGCTCAGAAACAATTCTTTTAGTCAGCTCTGTTTTCTTGGTAATTTTTCCTTCGATCGACAGGAAGTCTCCTCGGCGTCCCAGACTATCCCAAGAACTTTGGGATTCCTGTGTGAGCTTCTATCTTCCTGTGGGATTTGAGCGTTAACAGCATCTCTGTTGGTCTGAAATCCACGGAGATTCATGTTCATCGCCTTGAAGAGACTTTTTGATTCTTGATACTTCGCTACGGCCTCCTCTTGTGTTGTAGCGGTAAGAATCACATTGTCCACATACACGTTAGCTAGTATTTCCTTAGCTACCGCTGGGTTGTCCGTAGTAGTGCTGAGATGATGTCGTATCGTTCCTGCTAAGAGGAACGGTGAACACTTGAGTCCAAATGGGACCCGTGTGAAGCGATACTCAATCACGTTCGATCCCGTTGGAGGTCTTGTTATGTCTCTCACCCAGAAGACAGCGTACTACGTCTCGGTCATCAGGGTGAAGGTGGACTGCAAGAACGCCTTCTCTACATCTGAGATTATAGCAATGTTCCCGACTCGGAATCGAAGAAGCATGTGAAGCATTGCTGACAGCATCACCGGTCCCCGCTCCAAGGCATCATTGAAGGAGGGTTTGTTCTAATGTGCCGAAGGCATCGTAGACCACTCGAAGTTTTGTGAACTCTTTGTCTGGAGTGACTACCGCTTGATGCGCTAGGTAATGAACGACGGCACCAGGAGAAGTTTGTTATCTGCCTGCACTTTTTCGAGTATACCCTTACTCACTTGATCGACGAAGTTCTGGTGATACTGCTGAAGGATGTCAGGTGAGCACTTGAGCCTATTCAGTATCGAGCAGAGTCTCCTGTATGCGAGTGCCTTATTGTCCGGCAGTACGGAAGCCTCAGTTGTCCATGGTAGCCGGACTTGATAGCCCCTTTCACAACGCGAAATTGTGGACTCAAAGGTGTTCCATACCAGTTGGTCAACCTTTTCCTGTTCTTTCGCCTTTGTTCCGGAGAAGTCGTGGAGTCCTGCACCTTCGAATGCCAGAAATCGTTCCCAGTTCTGCACCTCCATATGCGTGTCTGCTGCGAAGGCGTCTGTGTATGTCTGGTCAGTCGCGACTTCTTCCTGAAGTTTCCCGGCGACTAGGTACCCGAGACGTGAAGGAACAAGTTTGATTCCTGACGGAAGTATCCACGTCGAATGACTGTCTCCGTAAAGCAGAGAAAAAACATCGCTGCATCCTAGCAGGATTTGTGGGTGAACTACCTGTTGGTATGGTTCGATCGACAGTTCGATGCGGTTTCAGCGATGAACTGCATATCTTCTTCGGAGAACTTGCTCTGGTAAAGGGAATCCGTAAATGCGTTGATTCGCGTCACTGAAAACGAATGATCTTCACCTGAAGAGTCCCGTAGGTGAACGTTTGTGATTCCACATGTCTTCTCCATGGGCTCATGGGATCCGAAAGTACTGATTTTTAGCTTAACTCTCTTTGCATCGTCGAGCTGGAGGCGAGTTGCTAGTTCATCGGTTATGAAGGAGCGATCAGCTCCAGTGTCCAATAGTACGTGTACTGATTCCCGTGTTTGTGTTCTGGGGTTGTGTACTTAGGCTGCTCCAACCAATATCACGAGATCCTTCGCTTGTCCAGAACAGTTCGTACACAGGGCAGCTTCCAAAGTCTCTCCTCCTTCTCGAGAGGTTCCGAGGACGTCACGAGGTGCTGTTTAGCTGGACGAGAAGTTGTAGTCCTGGTTTTGCCTTTTGTTGAGACGCATGCACTGGTCCTTTTCCCTTGCCTTGTGGTGTCAGATCCCGACAAGATTGAGGTGTGGTGGCCAACAGTTCCACACAGTCGGCAAGCTCCTTTGGTACACTCACTTGCCATGTGGTTTGATCCACCGCAGTTCCTACAAAGCGATCGATTTTTCAAGATTTCAAGCCGTTGTTCTCTTGTCTTATGCACAGGACAGTCTCGAGGAATGTGACCACTACTTTCGCAGTAGAAACATACGAAACTTTTCTTGCGAACTATCTGCTGACGTTCTTCTTCACTAGTAGACCTTCGCTTGAATGAATCCCTTGGAATACCATCGCGAATGTCGATGCTTCGATGAATCTCCAGTTCTGTATTGATGTATGCCTGAATCACTGAAAGAAGCATTTTTGTGCTCCAGAATTCACCATCTGGAAGTTCTTGTTTCTTCCGCAACGTATGTCGCTGAATTGCTTCTGTGAACTTTGACAGTATCTGCTTCTGGAGCACAGCGCTGTCAACCATCTCTCCTCGCAGTTCCATCTGGTTCACTATCGAGGAAAGTTCTTCACTCAATTTTCGCTGGTCTTCTATTTTTCGACTCTTCGCTTTTGTCTTCTCAAGTCTTTCGATGAGTTCTCTTATGAGAAGTTGCGCGTTCCCGTACCTCTTCTTCAGATGTTCTATCGCCATTTCGTATGTTCTTCCACTGACTTCGAATTGCTTTATCGATTCCCTTGCCTCTCCGCGCATAGCGTCGAGCAAATAATTCAATTTTGTAAATATCGTCCATTTTCCTCGAGTGAACGGAATGTTCAAATGCACTCCAGAAGCTCTCCCATTCCCACACCTTTCCGCTGAATTTTGGTATAGGTACTGGAGCGAGTTCTATCCGTGGGGCTTCTTCCTGCACCATAGTCGGCTCAGCTGAAGATGTCAATTCTTGTAATTGTAACTCCAGTTCGCATACTGTCGTTTGGGCTCGTACTATCAGCTCTTGCGCTGCCTCAGAATTGGCGGTAACTCTTTCAAGAATAGTCTTCAGTTGAGGAGTTTCACTGCTAAGGTCGTCCGCAGCGTTGGTGTAAGCTTTCAGCGCATTGTCGACACTTCTTTCCCCCATTTCGAAGCTCTTTCTGATTCTGCTTCAGCCGAAGTTTTTTCTCTTGGATGTACTTCCTCCTTTCTTCTTCGCTGAGAGGTACAACGATGGGTTGCGCCAGATCTTCTGCAAATTCTTGAAACAAAGACGAAAGTTTCGAGGTTGCCTTGGTCAGCAGTCCCATTCTCGATGAAAGCGTAGACGTCATTGTCGCTGCACGGATCCTTCTGTAATAGCTTGAGGGTGAGCTCCGATTTTTCACTTGGATCATCCTCGAAAGTCTTCAAACGGCTCGCGTTGACAGTGGACTAGTGATACGGCTCATCGGTCTTCCTTCAAATCGGCTCGTATGCACCATATATTGCCACGCGGGTTCACAGAGTGTAGTCGAAGGGTTTATCTGCACACAGAACGACAAGAGAGCTAATAGAAAGTCCTACGCTTAAATACAGAGATGCTCATTGTTTCATGGATTTCTCAAAACAAATGGAGTTACATTCCTAGATCCGTAAGATAGATAAGTTTCTACAATTCGAACTATTTCACAAACAATTTGATCAATGTAGA